TCCTTCTATGAGCAAATATCAGTACATCACCGGTCGGAATTCCCAACAATTGGTATTAGAGCTTTCGGTTTAAAGTGGTGTTTGATTTTACTCAAAAATGAAAGTTGTCAAAAATGTGTTTTGACCATACCACTGTGTAGAGGAGGAAGAGACGAAGCTACTGGTGAAAACCGCGTCGAAATTGAAAATTCGAAAACCGCCACACGCGCCGGCGAGGTGACTGTCCATGTCAGCAGCCACATCAGCAGTTCTACACAGTCATCAAACACGTCACCTGACACATCAGCACTCTAACCAGTCAAATTGCCACGTCATTAGGCATGTCAGCTGTTCTGCCACGTCACCCACAAATCCACCTGGGACTGCCACATCAGATTTGGGGGACCCCATATGTCCCACGTGGCTGACACGTCATCGCAGCCACGTCAGCTCCCTGAGTTTTAATCCAGAGTGGCGCAGCGACTATTCCTCCTGCCACATGGCGTCATCTACAGCGTCCAGTGATCCCAAAGTTTGATTGTTTAAATCTGAGCCATCCGAAGTCCGATTCGGGTGATCTCAGTGTCGTTTCTAACATTTTTGGCCATTCCGGACACATCTGTAAGGTTAGATTTTATAGATTCGAAGTCAGTTTCCTTAATGTTTTCAGACATTAGATTGTTTCCTGGTAGATATAAGTTTTCCTAGCTTATACTAAGGACTTGTAAATTTATTGAGAAAGCAGCTAATTTTTATAGAACAAAATTGCAAAATTAGGATTCACATTTTCAACCTTTTTTTTGCTCATTTTTATGTTTTATGTGCTATTGTTGTTCTATTAACTTTTGCCGGCATCACTTTTGGAGTGAAAATTGTAACAACTTGATGTTAGGTTGGTTGTCATTTCATGTAAGGCACCAACCATTGATAATTGACTATTGGTAGCCGCCATTGTTGAATGAGCTAGAGTTGGTAGCCACAAATATTGACAACAAACCAAGAATAACCTCCATGAATGCCTATAAATAGAGGCATATGTTAGAGAGCAAAATGAAAGAGGAAGTAGAGCCAAAGATGTGAGAAATGTAGGAGAGAGTGGGCTGTCATTACAGCACTAAAAAGAGAGAAATAGAGTGAGGTTGAGAGTTGCCAAAGAGAGGATGATTCCTACTCCTCTATTGTTGTAAATCTTGTACTCTCCCTACATAATGCAATGGTTTCTCCCGTGGATGTAGGCGGTTTGCCGAACCACGTAAAATATTGTGTCTCAGTGTGCTTCTCCTTCTATGAGCAAATATCAGTACATCACCGGTCGGATTTCCCAACAATTGGTATTAGAGCTTTCGGTTTAAAGTGGTGTTTGATTTTACTCAAAAATGAAAGTTGTCAAAAATGTGTTTTGACCATACCACTGTGTAGAGGAGGAAGAGACGAAGCTACTGGTGAAAACCGCGTCGAAATTGAAAATTCGAAAACCGCCACACGCGCCGGCGAGGTGACTGTCCATGTCAGCAGCCACATCAGCAGTTCTACACAGTCATCAAACACGTCACCTGACACATCAGCACTCTAACCAGTCAAATTGCCACGTCATTAGGCATGTCAGCTGTTCTGCCACGTCACCCACAAATCCACCTGGGACTGCCACATCAGATTTGGGGGACCCCATATGTCCCACGTGGCTGACACGTCATCGCAGCCACGTCAGCTCCCTGAGTTTTAATCCAGAGTGGCGCAGCGACTATTCCTCCTGCCACATGGCGTCATCTACAGCGTCCAGTGATCCCAAAGTTTGATTGTTTAAATCTGAGCCATCCGAAGTCCGATTCGGGTGATCTCAGTGTCGTTTCTAACATTTTTAGCCATTCCGGACACATCTGTAAGGTTAGATTTTATAGATTCGAAGTCGATCCGAGCTGAGTTGGAGCCAAGCCGAGCCGCGAGCCGAGGGACAAGATTCTGTGTGGCGGAGTCTATGTGCAACCGGTTCTGAGATTGAATCTGGGCCGTTTATCAGGTCAGAATTGTTTTGATCAAATCTTAGCCGTCTGAAGTGCCATTTGGACGATTTCAGACTTGTTTCCAGCTAATTTGATCGTTCTGGATGCAATGGTACGGTCCAATCATTGAGATTGAGATCATAAATGGCAGTGATGAATTATTAAAGAGAAATTGCCCGATTAAGAGGCATCTGATGGTTTTCATGGTGGTCGATGGAGATGAAAAAGAAGAAATCACACATGTTTGCCTAATTACATGTGTTGAAGTGTTATGTGAGGAATTTTAATTGCCTTGAGGGAAGACAAAATTGGGACACTCTAAACACCCGATCATGTGGACAATTTGAGGTGGAGAGTGAAATTTGATGAAGACCAATCTTGACGAATCTGAGCACTGGTAGTCTCGCCAGATATTGAGAAATCTGGTATAAAACCAGGATACCCCAGATCACTTGTAAAGGAAAGGCACGATAAAGCTAGAAAATGGTTGTATATACGAAAAGACAGTACGATGGATAGATATGGCCTAAGAAGTTCTGGCTAGGTGATTGGGTTTTAAGGGGGACCGTTGTGACCCCTCCAATATTTCCTGGGAACTTGCTTAGTGGAAGGATTATCCATACGGTACTATTTTCGTATATGTGACAGTTTGTTATGAAACTGTTGAAGACTAGCAGGATGACGGCACAAAGGAACAGTTGGGTTCCGTATGATCAAGGATCTGATGGAGTGGTGATTTCTTCAAGGAAGTTAAATTCAGTGACTGTAATTTCTTGAGGGGAGAATTGATGAAGACCCTGATAATGAAAGAGAAATACAACAAAGGGATAAAGATTGACACCCTATTTTGACTTGGATAGATGTTGTGACAGGATGAGCTCCTGTCAAACATAAGCAAGGAATAAGGAGAAATCTGGAGAACCAAAATTGCACGAGAGCACACGAAGATTGTGTAGGAGTACCTGGAGGATCCAACGAGGTACTATAATGAGACAACAGGTGCAAGGAGAAAAAGAGTTCCCAGATGAAGCTCAGAGGAGAGACTATGAAAAAGTTGTACAACAAAAAGTCTCTTGTACTCTTGATAAAGGAAACAAGCAAGGACCTTTCCAATACATGCAAGGATGGAAAGATGAGTTGTTACAGATGCACCTAATTGAGGGGGTGCAAACGCCTATGATGAAAGGCGAAGACACCAAAGAGAGTTGGTGTGGGTAGAGCTGTTAAGCAGAAAAGGCGTAGAAGCTCCAAACATAGAAATTGAGGTGGAGAATTGCGAGGAGTATACCGCAACTTTCTCTTTCTATGTGATCAGTGGCAATGAACTCTCCCAAGTCCACATGGTGATAGAGAATCTTAGTCACTGGAGACATCGCCGATGAAGGAGGATGTGACTGCTTTATGACGAACAAAGACACCTTATGACGAACAAAGACACCTCAGACAGAAGGTGTGTGGGCCATGAAAGGAACCCAAGTATAAACCGCTGCATGACGATGAGTGGAGACACATCAGGAGAAGGTGTGAGGACCATGATATGAGTCCAATTTCAGATCGTCTCATGAAGACAGGCAGAGACACCTCAGGAGAAGGTGTGAGGACCGTTATATAAGTCCAAGTTTAGACCGTCTCATGACAACAGGTGAAGACACCTTAGGAGAAGGTGTGAGGACCGTGATATAAGTCCAAGTTCAAATCGTCTCATAATGACAGGAGGAGACACCTCAAAAGAAGGTGTGAGGGCCATGATAGGAGCCCAATTTCAGAACGTCCTAGAGCTAATGTGATGGCTGGATATAAGTGGACAAGTGTATAGCCAATGAAGTGGCTATGATGAGTATGGAGACAAATGCAAGATTGACTTTCATAGATATTGCCTCATGCTAAAGATCAATGAGTTAGAAGACATTTGCCTTGGATAATAAGTGGATGACTTGTGGAGCATTGAGACGCGGCTGCTATGAAGAAGCAGAGGGCATGCGCAAGTTCCAGGAACAAGTTGACTCTTGTCAAGGTGGTGAGCTTAGTAATGGCATTGTAATACTTAAAGTATGAAGACAGATATGGATCAACCTTTTATGGGTTGCCCCCATGGTTATAGGTGGAAAGCTACCTGGACTCTTGAGACTAAGAGTGGGAGACTCATGGAGAAGTAAGGCGTGGTTCCTAGGGTGGAACAGAGGGCAGGCGCAACTCCTGGATGAGTAGACTCTTGGAAGAGTGGTGAGCTTGTGATCAGATTGAGAGACTCAGATAATAACTGTCTCACTTGAAATATCTGTTTGAGGGGGTGTTGTAAGCCTTGATATGAGGCTTGAGGAATCATTCCGAACTGAGCGTGGTTAATACGCTTGATGGGGAATGTTGTTCCAGAGACAAGCGTTAACACTATTCAGATGTGATGTGGCAGACCATCTGGTTATAGTGATCCTTTTGTGTGAGAAAAGGTGTGCTTAGGTCACTTTGATGATTGAAAGGTTTAGTAAGTACCTGTAAACTTGGCTACGAAAGCTCTCAAAATGGAAAGCTTGGAAAAGCTGCAAGATGCAAGCTTGTGTTGAAGAAGCAAGAGGACAATTGCCCCACATGAATGGCAAAGGGGGTGATTGTTAGGTTGGTTGTCATTTCATGTAAGGCACCAACCATTGACAATTGACTATTGGTAGCCACCATTGTTGAATGAACTAGAGTTGGTAGCTATAAATGTTGACAACAAACCAAGAATAGCCTCTATGAATGCCTATAAATAGAGGCATATGTTAGAGAGCAAAATGAGAGAGGAAGTAGAGCCAAAGATGTGAGAAATGTAGGAGAGAGTGGGCTGTCATTGCAGCACTAAAAAGAGAGAAATAGAGTGAGGTTGAGAGTTGCCAAAGAGAGGATGATTCCTGCTCCTCTATTGTTGTAAATCTTGTACTCTCCCTACATAATGCAATGGCTTCTCCCGTGGATGTAGGCGGTTTGCCGAACCACGTAAAATACCGTGTCTCAGTGTGCTTCTCCTTCTATGAGCAAATATCAGTACATCACTGGTCGGAAATTCTCAACACTTGAGATTTGCACGAGTACAAAATGCAAGTGGCCAACTTAGAAGAGAAGGTGGAGGAACACATCCTGAGAATGTTGACTACCTGTACACGTTAATTGATTCTAGTGATAGAGGGGATACAAGATTTTGCTGCGTCCATGAGAGAATAAAACTAATTCAGGGCTATTTTGGGTGTTTGATAACTCAAGCATATCAGTTAGATATGAAGTTTTTTCTTCAGGTTTAAATTATCTCTGCAGTCATATTACTTGCCCATTGAGAGCTGCTAGTTTCCATTACAGGAGCATGCCGAGGAGAAATATAAAATTTCACAATTCATCAAACAGAAGGCTAAATTGCAGTATCTAAGCAATTTAAATATCAGACCCTCGAGACAAATGATAGATTGACAGTTCAACACGCAGTCAAATGTGTTGATGGTAAAAATACTTGATAACAATAGCATCCAGAGTGTACCTCAACATTATAATTAAGAAAAAAATATAATGATAAAAACAATTGAAAGAGGAGTTGCTTTAGAATATTATGAAGTCCGAAAAGAATCCTTTAGTTTTATGCATATAAGATAACAGTATTGGATTTTTAAAAAAGCAAATAAAAATTAATATGTTCAGTGTTTGGAGTCTAAATACCTTCACATCCTTGATCAAACTCGACCATGCAAGATTGGGAATAGAGATGAATATCAACAACATATTCTTGTCCTTCATTCTGTGACTGTTCCAGCCTAGTTTTAAAACTTTTAACTGTGTTCGAATACAAATGCATCAGCAAGGTATCATAGGCATCGCGTACCACCTGCATATTGGCACATTTGAGTGGATCAGTATAAGAAACATATAAATACAAAAACACTAGCGCGAAGAAAGAAAAAAAGCCAGTCAAATCTATAAATTTAAATATAGAAGCAGAAGAGGAAAAGAAAAGATCAAATACAGCACATTTGACACAACCAGGGAGCTTAGGAACTTAAAAAGAGGAAATATACATGCTAAGGCCTTACCATCAACGCACTTGACAACAACTGTCGCCGTTTTTCATTTCGTACTTCTTGATCAAAATAGACTACCTCCCTGTCATATCTATTGGGGAAAAAAATGCAAAATAAGAGATTCCAAATCAAGTGATAATTTAATTAGTAGGAATCAATTACTTCGCGAACCAAAGTATAACTATTAATTGATCATAATTCAAAGTTTCCAGTCTTCGTTTTGAGACAGACAAGAGAGTAGTTAACTGATCAACTGACGGAAGAAGTATTAAAATTGAAGAATCTTGGAACAAAACTGATGATGTGTGTCCCTATATATCTGCAGCTTAGTAGGCCAACTACAAGGTATTGTTCCACATGGCTTTCAGTGGGTTTTATACCCTTAAAAACACCTTGCAATGAAAGAGGTGTCCTTGGCGCCATACAAGCAACCAAGGCCCTCTCCTAACCATTGTGGGTTAATGGCATCATAAAAAACACAACATAAGTTGACATTAAATATCACGCAGATCTTACAATGTAAACACATCATCATATAGAATTGACACCATGATGTATACTTACTCTGAAAGATAGGTTTCCAAAATAGAACTGACAGCTCCTCCAAACCCTGATACTGGACCATCTTGAACAGCTTCCTTCATTTTCAACCAATCCTGTAAGAAATAAATTTAGTACTAACTGATATTAAATCAAGTCGGTGAACTTTAAAAGAAAGAAATTAGAAAATAGATTCAATAAAGTACCTCATCGTATGTAAAGCATTTGAGCTTCTCATCTGCAATCTCTTCACATCGAACAGTGGCAACCATGACCTGATAAACAGGATGAGAAGTATATTTACATATGAAACCTGATGGTTTATATTTACACAGGAAAATGGCTTTTAATAAACCTTGACAGCAGGAAGATCTAAATCCTTGTTGTCTTTTATTATTTTCCAAATCTCTTCTGCACGAAGAGGAAACACTGAGGCAGGTTCAACTTCCTGCCTGTCACCAACAAGACCTCCTGGATAAATGGAATGGACAAACCGCTGCCTCAGTTGAGCAACCTGTAAATGTCAATGCTATCAGAAAAATGGAGTTACGAATTACAGATACCGGATTTCTCACTTGATACTTGCTGTCCTAGTTGCTCTCACATGCACAGATCCATAAAATTATATTATCACAGGACGTAATGCTCATTTTTTCATTCTTACATGATACGCTCCTAATGACTGTTAAACACTCTCCAGTTAGAGCTAAGCACCAATGTGTGTGTTGCATGACTATCAAGTTTAACTTGCATATCTATTAATAATTGGTTAATTATGGACTCCAGAGTTAACTTCTAAATGAACCACATGAATTGAAGATGAATTCTCGGAAACGAAACACAGCCTGTCACTCCCACCAAACCTTTCCTAAGAGACTTGAATGCAATATTTAAGAGTATATGCCCCATAAAGGATTTTTGGTAAGCTTGGCTTGGAGAATTAGGTTCAGGGTTTGACATATATGCACACTTGGAATTAATTTGTTACCATAACTAGTTCTCTACAAGAATTTGGAGGTAAAATCAAAGCTGAGACTAGTGCCTAGAGAGAAGAAGGAAATAGAGAGTAAGAGAGAGAAACCATAGGCACCAGGCTTTCAAAGTAACATTACTCTATATTTTATCTTGTAATTCAACTCTAAGACAGGAATATGCTGCTGTTCTGTCCCTTCATGCAAAAGCCAATGATTTTGAATTCCAATTATTTGGTAAGCATATGCAAAGCTACAAATCATTCCAGTCATCAATTCTAGAAAACACGCAGCAGCACAATCTAGAAGAACTCAGGACAAAAGTTTTGAGGATTGACAAAGTGCTTTCTAAGTGGAAAAGCTACCTGCTCTTTAAATTTCTCCTCTTGGAATTCATAGTGAGGCAAAGCAGTGATCTCCACCTTTATATCAATAATTAGAAGCATATTAAGTTCATGGAACTTAAAAAAAAAAAAAGGCAACATATGATAAACATATGCCAATGGCATCAGTATGGAGATGGAGGTGATTTTTCATACATTAAAAAACTCTTTGAGAGGAGCGCTACAGAGAGTCTCAGGCTCAGCAACTGCAGCCCAAATCTGCAGAAAGTATGACCTCAGAAAATGCTGGAGAATAAGAAGAGAAATAATTGATCCAGAAAGAGAAATGCATAAACAGAGAATAAGAAGTATGAACAGAAGTACCTTCTCAATATCTTCTAAGAGAGCAGTCTTTAAATATTCAAGTGGAGTCTACACAGACAATCAGAAAAGGGACAGAGATTCAGCGTTGAAGATGCATTCAAAGAATGGAGCGCAAGGTGCATGGAATCTTGTCTCAAGAAACTTATGGGCACAAGTCCATACCTTTGAGTGATCACGTAGAACGAACAGTATTGTTTTTTTGCGGGGCTTGAATAAACGCTTCATGACCTGAATACAAGAAATAATAGATTATCACATATCAGCATCAAATTATGTTGGGTGAAATACTCAAAATTACACACTGAGCTAAATGAATGCAGCTAAACAGTTTTGATAAAATGGGGTAAGTTTGCTGTGAATATCGAATCAGAGGCTCAGGCTTACCTAAGGTTAAGAAAAACACAGTTAACCAATCAAATGCAATTAAATGTGAGACAATCCAAACTTGACTATCTAAAGAAGTTTGGAAATTGGTCACTTAAGTTAATGCAAATTGCTTTCATGTACCTGGAAAACGGTTTTTAAAAGGGGTCTGCTGGCTGCATTTTCCAGACCAATGTCTTTGTACCACCTGCATATGATACTCAACACAGAATCATTTGACAGAAAAAAGTACTGGGCTGCCTTACCGACTATGGAAGGCTACATCAAGAGGGTTTTTTTTTGGCTAGGCAGAGCATACCCAGTTGTGGACATTTATCAAACTTCCCAGGCAGAAAATGCATTCGAATATTATAATGATGAGCATACAAAACTCACATGTTTATCAAAACAACGTCAGCGATTGCCAAGGCAAATAAGGTGCTTTGTTTCTCAAACGCTGTGTCATCCTGAAAAAAGAACACATTCGCAGTGCCAAACTTGTATAAGCATCACACTCGCAGATTGAAGCCGTGAAGTAATGCAACCAAAAATAATGAAACCATTCAGCAATCAACGATTTGTATGTCACAGAAATTGAAAAGAATACAATGTAACCATAAAACCCCTCTCAATTAACAAAGCAAAGCTAAAGTAATAGAAAGATCTATGAGTTACCTCGCCTCTTTGATTGCTGTCGGTTCCCTCGAAATCCATGGCAATCGTAAAAGGGTCAATATCACTACACTTTGCAATCCAAATGCCCTTGGTTGTTTGGCTTCTGAAACGTATATAACTACAATATCTTCCTCTTTCATGTATACAAAGCAACAAGCCAACAAGAACAGTAAAATATACAAATTCTCAACTAAAAATAAAATAAAATCAAACCTTCCATTGTATGCATCCATCTCCTCGAAATTGGTATGGAAGGTCTGATTCATTAGGGTGCTTTTCCCTGTTCAAGATTAATTAAGTAAAAAGCTATCAACACCAACTTCATTAAAATCAATGACTATATATTAAGAAATGATTAATAAATCAACACGAAGTTAAGAAGTTGAACACTTGCTTACCGCTACTTTGTGAGCCAATGATGGCAACAATAGCGTAGGAGAGACCGGACTGAGCGAACTCGGTGGCTGTCATGAAGTCTTTGAGTCCATCCACGTTGAACTTGCCATTTCCATCAATCAGCTGCATGCCTTGCTCCATTTTCATTAACGATCTAACTCAACCACAATAACGACAACTCTTGAAGTGTCGTCCTTCCTGTGTTTGTGTTTCTGGGTTGCAGAGGAATCAATCTTAAAGCAAAAGTAAAGTGGGAGGGACAAAGGATCCTATTAAAGTAAGCCTGCATGAGTCAACTTCTACACGAAGAACTTGTTTGCTTTTTTTTCTTTTGAGTTTTGACCCCACCAATAGCTGAGAATAAGTATATGGGATTGGAGATTAATTATTTTTGTGTTTTAAATTATTTTGAATTAAAAGAAAATTATTTTTAAATTAATTATTTTAGTAGTTTTAGATATTTTACTGATGTTAAAAGAATCGATAACATAGCATATCCAAGTTTAATGTCTTAACTCAGTATTCTTCTTTCATAAATTTTCAGGTAAACTATAAATTGTTCTTTCTAGTTTTGCAAAATGAGTTCCTGAAACTAATTAATTAGTTTTTATATTTTAAAATCAGCCTATAATTAACTTGATTTTTTCCATCCATTTCAATTTTTTTCCAATTAATTTCATTTTAATTTAATTTTAAGTATCAATTTCAAAAGAAAAAAAGAAAGATAATATGAAAAGACTATTAAAAGGAAAGTGTTTTTTGGAACAAAAATTATTAAATTAAATATGTTTAACACTGATAAAAAAAAATTAATTAGTTAATTTTTGAAATTAGAAAGACTATTCAATTTATTTTGAAAAGATAAAAAAGAAACTAGCTAATTTATAATTTACTCTTCTTTATCTATAATGACAATCAAAATAATACTAAACTTTAACTTATGGTACCCTAATAGTTATTTGATGTGCTTTAACTGCTTGAGGCAGAAGGTGAACAAAGGGATTAATTAACCCCCAAGCTTCAGGATTTATCAATGCTATTGATATTAAAAATAATAAATTTCGTTATGATTGGTATTTTATTTTTTAATTGAAATGATATAATATATATATATATATTCAAATTCAAAAATAAATTAAATTAAAAAATATATATTCACAACAAATTATTAAAGTTGAATCTCTAATAAAGCAAGTGTTATATAATAAAATTAGAGAAACGACATAAGTTTAGGGGGGGGAAATTATTTATATAACAAAACGGTTAGAACAAAATTGGAATGTATAGGTTGGAATCTGACCAAAAAAATCCAAAATGACCAACATCTTAAGTGAGATGAAATTTATTCTAAGTTTTTTTTTTTTAACTAGAACAAGATATATTAAATATTCAAGATGAAACAAAACAAAATTGAAAATCTTTACAAATAATGTTGATTTGAACACAACACTTTTTGAAAAAATATATAAATGATAATAGAATTGGAGTTCTTAAAATTATAAAAAGTGTAACTATTAATTATATCATTATAAAAGCTGAATTACCTTGTAGGTTAACCTAGGTCCTAAATTGTTCAAGTTAACCAAAAAACCTCTAAGAAGTTTTCTCAATCAAATTTGTATGATCTACTTGGTTGACTCGGAACCTAGGTGATCTAACCTAGTTGGCTCCAAGTCTAGACAATTCACTATAAAACCACTAGAAAATCCATTCAATCAAACTCCAATTACTCATTTATTTAACCCAATATAACTATTTTTTTTAAATAACACCATTTTAAATTAGAAATAAGAAACTCGTCAATCTCAAAATAAACAGTTACCCCTTAGAACACATAATCCCCTCTGCCTTTTAGCCCCAAGCTTGCTTCCTCATTTTCTTTTTCCCTCATAATTGAGGGCCTCAACGTCATGAACACCTCTTGTAATATCTCTTTCTATTTCTCTAGTTAATTTATTTGCGATGAGAAGTCTTGCCTTAGCCCTTTTTCCTTTCTCCCAATAGAGAAAACCAACAACAAGATCTACTAATGGCATTAATGTTGTCACATCTAGACATCATGATGATTAATTAAAAAATTTTATGAAATTTATCAAATAAAAAATAAATATCCAATATACACAGTTAACCAATCAAATGCAATTAAATGTGAGACAATCCAAACTTGACTATCTAAAGAAGTTTGGAAATTGGTCACTTAAGTTAATGCAAATTGCTTTCATGTACCTGGAAAACGGTTTTTAAAAGGGGTCTGCTGGCTGCATTTTCCAGACCAATGTCTTTGTACCACCTGCATATGATACTCAACACAGAATCATTTGACAGAAAAAAGTACTGGGCTGCCTTACCGACTATGGAAGGCTACATCAAGAGGGTTTTTTTGGGCTAGGCAGAGCATACCCAGTTGTGGACATTTATCAAACTTCCCAGGCAGAAAAGGCATTCAAATATTATAATGATGAACATACAAAACTCACATGTTTATCAATACAACGTCAGCGATTGCCAAGGCAAATAAGGTGCTTTGTTTCTCAAACGCTGTGTCATCCTGAAAAAAGAACACATTCGCAGTGCCAAACTTGTATAAGCATCACACTCGCAGATTGAAGCCGTGAAGTAATGCAACCAAAAATAATGAAACCATTCAGTAATCAACGATTTGTATGTTACCGCTACTTTGTGAGCCAATGATGGCAACAATAGCGTAGGAGAGACCGGACTGAGCGAACTCGGTGGCTGTCATGAAGTCTTTGAGTCCATCCACGTTGAACTTGCCATTTCCATCAATCAGCTGCATGCCTTGCTCCATTTTCATTAACGATCTAACTCAACCACAATAACGACAACTCTTGAAGTGTCGTCCTTCCTGTGTTTGTGTTTCTGGGTTGCAGAGGAATCAATCTTAAAGCAAAAGTAAAGTGGGAGGGACAAAGGATCCTATTAAAGTAAGTCTGCATGAGTCAACTTCTACTCGAAGAACTTGTTTGCTTTTTTTTCTTTTGAGTTTTGACCCCACCAATAACTGAGAATAAGTATATGGGATTGGAGATTAATTATTTTTGTGTTTTAAATTATTTTGAATTAAAAAATAATAATTTTAAATTAATTATTTTAGTAGTTTTAGATATTTTACTGATGTTAAAAGAATCGATAACATAGCATATCCAAGTTTAATGTCTTAACTCAATATTCTTCTTTCATAAATTTCCAGGTAAACTATAAATTATTTTTTCTAGTTTTGCAAAATGAGTTCCTGAAACTAATTAATTAGTTTTTATATTTTAAAATCAGCCTATAATTAACTTGATTTGTTCCATCCATTTCAATTTTTTCCAATTAATTTCATTTTAATTTAATTTTAAGTATCAATTTCAAAAGAAAAAAAGAAAGATAATATGAAAAGACTATTAAAAGGAAAGTGTTTTTTGGAACAAAAATTATTAAATTAAATATGTTTAACACTGATAAAAAAAAATTAATTAGTTAATTTTTGAAATTAGAAAGACTATTCAATTTATTTTGAAAAGATAAAAAAAAAAAACTAGCTAATTTATAATTTACTCTTCTTTATCTATAATGACAATCAAAATAATACTAAACTTTAACTTATGGTACCCTAATAGTTATTTGATGTGCTTTAACTGCTTGAGGCAGAAGGTGAACAAAGGGATTAATTAACCCCCAAGCTTCAGGATTTATCAATGCTATTGATATTAAAAATAATAAATTTCGTTATGATTGATATTTTCGTTATGATTGGTATTTTATTTTTTAATTGAAATGATATAATATATATATATATATATATATATATTCAAATCCAAAAATAAAATAAATTAAAAAATATATATTCACAACAAATTATTAAAGTTGAATCTCTAATAAAGCAAGTGTTATATAATAAAATTAGAGAAACGACATAAGTTTAGGGGAAAAAAATTATTTACATAACAAAACAGTTAGAACAAAATTGGAATGTATAGGTTGGAATTTGACAAAAAAATCCAAAATGATCAAGATCTTAAGTGAGATGAAATTTATTCTAAGTTATTTTGTTTTTTTTTAATTAGAACAAGATATATTAAACATTCAAGATGAAACAAAACAAAATTGAAAACCTTTACAAATAATGTTAATTTGAACACAACACTTTTTAGAAAAATATATAAATAATAATAGAATTGAAGTTCTTAAAATTATAAAAATGTAATTATTAGTTATATCATTATAAAACTTGAATTACCTTGTAGGTTAATCTAGATCCTAAATTGTTCAGGTTAACCAAAAAACCCCTAAGAAGTTTTTTCAATCAAACTTGTATCATCTATTTAGTTGACTCGGAACCTAGGTGATTTGACCTAGTTGGCTTCAAGTCTAGACAATTCACAATAAAACCACTAGAAAATTCATTCAATCAAACTCCAATTACTTATTTACTTAACCCAATATAATTAATTTTTTTAAATAACACCATTTCAAATTAGAAATAAGAAACTTATCGATCTCAAAATAAACAATCACCTCTTAGAACACATAATCTCTTCTTCCTTTTAGCCCCAAGCTTGCTTCCTCATTTTCTTTTTCCCTTTTCCCTTTCTCTCAATAGAGAAAACCAACAACAAGATCTACTAATAGCATTGATGCTGTAACATCTAGACATCATGATGATTAATTAAAATTTTTTATGGAATTTATCAAATAAAAAATAAATATTTAACATCTTGTTATTTAAAAAAAATTCAATTACGTTAAAAAAGTATAAGAAGTATAAGGATGTATTTTGTTGAATATACTCTTAACAAATATAATATGTGCTGAATGGATCTAAAATCTAAAATCTAGACCTGATTTATTTTTTAAATTAGACTGGATCTAGTTTAGATGTATAAGTTAGGTCAGACACAGCTCCCTTTTTCTTTTTAACTTCCAAGCATGTTTGGTTTTGTTTTTTTTTTTTACTCACAAACGTGTGTAAACTGTTCATACATGCTTGCCAATGGAAGGGGAGTGATTAAAATGCAAGGAGCGGCAAAATGCAGGTGCTGGATGAAGCACTCCTCGGGCTCCCTCTTTACTCCTCGTCTTCTCTTCTTGGTCTTTACGTTTTGCTTTCTCAAGACCCAGTCCTCTCCTTCCTTCCCCTCTCTTTTCTTAGGTCAAGGATATAAATAAACTTCCATCATGTTTGCTGATTTTTGTTTATTAAAATATTTTTTAATCAAATGATAATATAAATAGATAAATAT